CCGGCTTCCTGGTCAGCTGGTGCAGGCAGTCGGTGCAGAAGGTGTGCCCACACTTGGTTTGAGCTGGATTGTGGAGCAGGTCCAAGCTGTGGGACAGGAGCTCAGTTAGCTGCCTGAGCCTCGGGATAATCGTACGGCAGCGAGAGCATCCACTGTTGTGCGTGTCGTGTCAGGAGCTAAATAGGTGCTGCTGGCAGTCTGAAGAACACAAATATTTTCTGAAGCATTATGTACGAGCATTACGTTGTGGCCGAGTGGTTGGAACCTTTGCCTCCCATGTGGGGGACCGGGGTTTAAATTATCATTGCCACATCTCCGAGTCCCTCACTGCGGTCTCTTTGAAGCAGGGAGGGGAGCGCTTCCTGCTCCGACTTCGCGAAGACGAAGTTTGTCTTCAATGGTTTTGTATTCGACCTCGGCTTTGAGCCGTTTTCCCAGCCTGGCTTCAGATTTTACTTTGGGTTTGTGTGGCGCGCGGCGCACCCGTCGGCCGCCGGCCACACGCTGCTTATTCCAATGTGCGAGTACGGTTTTTGTTTGTTACGATTGGCCCGGGCGTTCGTTCCGGACATGTGCGCCACGACGATCAATAGGGAGCGGCCCATTACAAACACCGACCTCGTCGGAGTGCAGGCACGTATCAAACAGAGCACGGAGTACGGTCAGAGTCGGCTATCGGAGGGACACCGAGACTGATATGCTGATCGGAGACCGTATCGGCCTGGCGCGCCGGCGGTTACGTACTCGCACATTATTTCCGATCAGCTGCATGTCACGCGCTCCGCTCGCGCTTGCACCGCGTCATAGTAATTGGCATATCTAATATACAAATGCGTCGCTTGTGTGTGTCGTTCAATGGCGTACTGGGCTGGTGCTGCTTCACGCGCTTCAATGAACAGTCTGTAGGAAAATATCAGATCAAGGATTAATGCATTGAGGTATGAATTTTGCGCCATAAGACAGGACGTGTCATGGTTAGGTCCAGGCCTTTGACATTCATATCTCTATCCTGCAAAGTTCACATATTGTGTACAGCTTGGGGCGACTGTGAATTTTCCACGAGTGCAATCGAAGGACTTCTGTTACGAAGGGCTACATCCGTCACAGATGCTTTACGTTGTGGCTTCTCGCAAGGAGCGATGGAAAAAGTCCTACGTGGTACGTGGGCAGTCGTTTACCCGTGGGTTGAAAGGTCCCACTCCCTACAGACATTTGGAAGTCGGCTCTTGGTCGGTCTCCCCGCGACTCACAGATGAGGTGGGACGCGTTTTTGCAGGCCGCTGACCGCTAGTGAGGGTGGCAGTAGTACGTGTAGGGTACAGTTGATGGATTCGCGACTCGCAGAAGGTGGGACTCGCTTTTCAGGTTCCTTCTTGCGATGCCCAGAAGGTGAAAGTCGGAAAAGGGTGTTGAGCTATCGGAAAAGCTAGTCCATTTTTGGCGATCGTGGCTGGACATGCAGCCACGGAAGGGAGTTTGCTAAGATGACCATGAGTAACTGACCATCAGCAGCGACAGCGAATTCGGTCACAGAAGGTACCCCCGTTAGAATCATACCAGCGAATCCAGAAGGCAAGGTTCGCACATATCAGCCGATCAGGGATTCCGGTGACCAAATATTAAGAGCCAATGAGGGATTCCGGCTTGCCGATGACGGATTCTGGCGACTAGGATATTGAGCCGACGAGGGATTTTGGCATTATTCACTGACGATGGATGGTGGGGGCTGTGTGGTGATGCCGCGGTGAGTCTGACACCAGGTGGCTACTATTTGCTGAGGCTAAATTCCAAGGTATACGTGGTGTATGGCTGTACGGTTCCGCCCATAACTGAAGGGACCTGATCGTTGCACATAACCTGCAGACTGTGTGTGGCGACAATATGAGCCTCCCTTTGATATGCCTGGTGACAAACATGCATGAGAAGCCAAGAGTGTAGGAATATCAGTAGCGGAATCCCAGTAAAGTGACGTTTGCTACCCATGTTAGGACGAAAGAATCTGTTTCGTAAGGGACCATGCGATGTCGGTGAGCTCATGTTTTCGCCACCATTTGCAGCCATCCCCACTAGTCGGTTTACGCCTGGGAATTGTCTCGATGATAATTACCTCCGAATCGATACAGTGGGCCAGTTAGCCAAAAGCCGCCACGAACAATAACGATGGAAGGGATAGGTAAGGTATATCTCCAAGGAGCACTGAAATGTAGAATGAGACTTACAGGAAACCAGTTTCAATTAGCAAAATGGTAGGATTAGAATTATGAAGAGGCAGACGCTATTTAGTCAAAGAGTAGTGAATCACTGGAATGGACTGCTAAACGAACTTGTAGGAAGTCCCTCCCAAGCAACATTTCAAAATCTTTGAAGAAGTTCTATGGGTCTAAGGATCTCATTTATAGCTAAACGCAGGCAGGTCAAGTGGTCAGATTAGTTCAAGGATGGGTGAGGAACCTAGGGAAGGCCAACTCTGATGGGCCCTTGTGGCTCTTTGTTGACCTGATGTCTATGTCTCTGTATGTCTAACAATCACCTGCATAACAAATCTAAGCAAATATGATTGTCAGTACACATATTTGTTCCAGGGAGCTTTTCTTTTGTAAAGTTAATTTTTGATGAGTACAATCAGCATCTCTTAGACTATTGTGGGCTGGCAGCAGTCGCCCTTCACGCTAGCACAATCAGCATCTCTAGACTACTGTGAGCTGGCAGTGGTCGCTCTTCATGCTAGAATGCTGAGCGGATGATGCCAGGTAGACTGAGCGGGTGAGCACGTCGCAAGGTCCGATAGGATCAATAGGGGAGGCAAAAATGCAGGTCTGGTACGTGGCCGTATTACCTCGCTGAGCAGTATTTGCAAACATATTCATAACATCAGCCATTATACAACAACTTCAAACAGCATACAGAAACTTCACCTAAATTAGAGTCAGTCACCGGGCTGGCTTCTTTCTTTTATGCTTTTATGCAAGTTGGGCTTTGAGAATCATGTGGTTGCTGTGGTTGCTGTAGGATGCGGTGAGAAATCCCTCGGATGAGCATGGCAATATTGTTGAGAAATGAGGAGCCAGTACTCCTAGTCAAGCCGACAGCAAAATTAAGTTGAAGGAAACAACAGTATCTGGGAACACCAAGTGTAACATTTGTACCATTTAAAGTTTACTTCAGCTTCAACTTCATAACATGTTTTGGCTCCAAGAAGTTGTGGATCATATACCTGATGTCAACTCCATGCACAATGGAAGTGATGGCTTCAATTCTCATTTGGCTTTGGCTCAGACAAGTTTAGCATCATGTACCTGACTTCAGCCCCATACACAATTAAAGTGATGGCTTCAGCCTTGTCATTCTCTTTTTTGTCATGCCAACAATGTAAACCCCAGATAATCACTGCAGCTAGTCCCAGCTTTACATGCAGTTTAAAACCACTGGCCTAAGACCTGGCTTCACATCATATATTGTGATGCTGCTGACTCCAGCTTTTCCCTGGAAATTCCAAACTTTGAGCTTGACTGCTTTGGCTTTGACTCCAGCTTCATCTCATCTTGACTTTGGCTTCAGAGTAAGAAGCCCACTTAATCCCATGCCTGCTGTAAACCATTGACCACTGTAGTCCCCTGCATGCAAACAATGTTTGCTGATGACCTGCACTGATCATTCTTTTTTAAGGAGGTGACAATGGTTAGGACATGAGCAGATAATAGAAAACTCCCATCCTCAGTGGGGGAAATACTATGCGTCTTAAAAAGATCACAATGGAAACAGCTGATCTTTGTTTACACATTGCTAAAGAAGTGCCACACAATGCAAGATTCAAAACAGCAATGGTCAGAAAAAATGCATGGTACAAACATGTGGACAATTGCTTGGTCCTGCAACATACCATATTGTGCACTCCACACTCTTCTGCATTGATGAAAGTATCTTCTGCACTTGTTCAACCTCTTTGGGAACTTCCATAGCTACAAGGAATAGGAGGGTGGTTAGCACAGTACACAAAGTATTCAGTAAAGCACAATAAAGCTCAAGGAATATTTATCTAGTGGTTCACAACAAATCATCAAAACCATAGACAGGTGTTGATGACCAAATGGGCAGAGTACATGCCATAGGGTTAAATATCTTGTATATATGAGTGCAGTGGTCAAAGATAGCATTTCAACAAATCGAAAATAGCATGAGGGAATGAGCCCTTAAATTATGTAGCTCAGAAAACAAGCAGCACATTGAGAACAGCCACAAATAACCACACAATGCAGGAAACACAGTCCAAAACACCTGGCAGCCCTAGGGGCAAGCAAACGACGTGCATTTGACACGCGGACAGAGTTCAGAGAAAAAACAAGCGTTATTTGTACATGCACCCGATGTCCCACAAACCTGCTGCTGTGGCGCTAACAGTGCAGAACGAAGAAAATATTGACAAGATCACCAGCGGGCAGGTACGTGGGCACCTATGTACATACTCAGAACTGCATGTCAATACGGATGCATGCCCCCGCCCTACAAAGTGTTTGAGCGGGACATTGCAAATTAGCTGCAAGCAGGATTCAACTTGCGGCGAATATCGCGACTGACGGAGGGCGCGCGGTGCTGGAAGTAACAAGCGCGCGGTGCTGGAAGTAACAAGCGCGCAACGTTGAAAGTCAGCGCCAAAACATCCAGAGTCTTTTTTATGTTTCCTATTTTATTGATGAATTGTGCATATTTGTTATTTATTGTCCAAAATGTGTATCTAAGTTTCCAAATGATCCATCACATCAATAAAAGGTACACTTCTGAGGCCTCAACGTAGCTTAGGACTACCTCATCGCCGAAACTCCTGTAGCAGTAGAGTCATGACGTCACCATGTAGGCAAATTATATGATTGCAACCAGATTGCTAAAAGCTATGATTTATCCGGATTTTTTTCAAATTTTGCCGTGCTTTTTTCGTCTTTCTTGGGTGCTGTTAAGTTTGTTTGCATTTCAAAGACTATGAGTAGTGGGTTTTTCAAGTTTAGGAAGCATTATCGTTTCCATTTTTGGTATTTCCGCGCCGGTTTTACTACCTTCCTTACCGTTATGAACCACCTCAGCTCGCATCATTGGTCATAGTTTGGTTATTATGTGGGGACGCGCTGTTTTGCGGTGGTCGTCGGGAGCCATCGCTGTGCCGCCGGCTGTCATTGGGGTTGCGTGAAGCATATATACGTTGCGGATGTAAGTTGTGGCAATGCCGGTACTGATAGTACATATTTTAGTATCAATGGTTAATGCAGTGTTGTATTCCGGACTCTCGAAATGCTGAGGTGAATCCTGACAGGAGGTTTGGAGCCATGATTTATGTTTATTTATAGGTTTTTTGCCTGATCAAAAAACATGTGGCGCTGGGCATCACTGATGGAAGAAACATCATACTTGCTTTGGGGACATGTGTGCGAAGCAGTGTGGTCCCCAGATGACTCATCCCAGTATTGTCATATTGACGTGAATGGGCTGTGTATAATTTAGTTTTAAAGAAATGCTCCACATTTGAAGATATTGAAGCAAGCATCAAGTGTGATTAAATGGGGTTATTAAAGCTATTGATATACCTGAAAGTAGAAAAGATTGCTGTCAACAGATAACACATCTGTTCAGTAAATATGCTCCTTAATATGTCATTGTTTCATTACATCTTCATGCCATGCATAACATTGATTGAGAGCCAACTGACAGCAGTGCTAATTGGAAATCATGCTCACAAATGGCTGATGGAGCAACTTGGGAATTCTGGTTTGCATTCATCACTGCATTGCAAATGGAATGACAGGATAAACCTTACCAAGCACTATATAATCCTTATCAGAATTTAGAAAGGCAAAAGTTGTAGGTCCTGTTCTTAACAAGTTGTGTGGTTACTAATAAGACTTGGTCTTGGATTGGGGTGTGGTACCTTTTGTGGACCAGCTGTGATTGAGCTTGAGCTTGGAGAGGTTGAAGTTGTGGACTTTGACTGATTGCTCACAGTTGGAGAGCTTCCAGTGGAGGCCTTGAGTAGTCCATAGCATGGAAGGAGAATTAAAGCCACCTGGATTCAAGTCTATCCTTAATTGGAGGAGCTGGTACATGGCTACCATGTCTCCACAATGTCTTCAGTGATACAGGGCATGTAGCCTCCAAATGTTGTAGTTGTTATTAACATAGTTTGTCCCCTGCATTCTTTGCTGTTCTAGTCACACACCATTGCATCCTCTCCACAAGCTTTCTTTTGGTGGTACCATTAAAGGGTCTTCAGCTGATGTCACATGCACCAGGTGGGGTTTCACCAGGGCTTCCACAGTAAAGGTAGTGTTTTTACATCAGTGTTGTGGAGGCAGTGTATTTCTGACATTCTAGGTACCATCTTTGTGGATGCCCAAGTCTCTCAACTCTGTCTGTCTCCATCTGTCAGACTACCTGGTGACATTGTCAGGTCTTGCTGGAGCTCCTTGATTTTTCCAGGTGGAGCTACACGGGCACGCTTCGGTGTCATCTGCAAATATTTTGATTGAGGATTTAATATATATACTATTTAATATATATATATGTATATATATAAACTTGAGTCCATTTCAGTTTTACCTACAATGGTTGACCAGCTTGCTGCACCAATGTTGACATACCGATCCCATGTTCGACAGGAGGCGCTGCTGGCCTTAGAATGCCATCTCCAGTGGTCTGTGACCAGGAAGTGAGCAGCACCAGCTCACCTCCCGGCGTCACTGCCGCCCCAGCCGACTCTGTCACGGATGCTGGTGGCGATGCCCAGCCACACAGCACCAGCACTGGGGACCAGGTCTGTTACCCCCCCCCCCCCCCCCATAGAGACACACCAGCCATCTGTGAGAAACTTGGGTCACATCTTCACACCTGTGTTCAATAATCACCTATCATCTACATGCACCCACAGATGAGCCTTTTTCATCTATGTTATGGTGCCAGCCATCTCACCTGTGTCCGAGAACCAGTTTCCCCATCTGTCTCCTGATACCAACCGTCCCATCCGTGTCTTGGAACTAGCCATCCCACCGGGGCCCCGGGACCGTCCGTCCCGTCCTTGTCCGGGGACCGGCCATCCTATCTGGGTCCTTAGACCATGGGTCCCATCCTTGTCTGGGGACTAGCTGTCCCATGTGGGTCGCGGGGCCATCCGTCCCATCCTTGTCCGGGGACCAGCCATTCCATGTGGGTCTCGGGACCATCCGTCCCATCATTGTCCGGGGACCAGCCATCCCATGTGGGTCCCGGGACCATCCGTCCCATCCTTGTCCGGGCCCAGCTGTCCGTGACCGTGCCACCCCATCGAGCGTGCTTTTGTACTGGAGCGGAGCGAACTGGCCTGTTGCAGGACGCCGCGCTGGAGGACGCCTCGGCCGACGAGTGCGTGTACCCGGCGACGGGGTACGAGTACCTGGACCACCCTGCCGACGTGCAGCTGCACGCCTGGGGTGGCTCGCTGCCCGAGGCCTTCGAGCAAGCGGCGCTGGCCATGTTCGGTTATATGACGGACCTGGAGACGGTCGAGGCGGTCGACACGCAGCACGTGACCGCGCAGGGACACTGACCTGGAGTCGCTGCTGTTCCACTTTCTGGACGAGTTCCTCTTCCTCTTTTCGGCCGAGCCGTTCTTTGTCGCGTGCCACGTGGAGATTGTCGAGTTTGACCGGCAAGAGTTCCGGATACGCGCGCGAGGCTACGGTGAGCCGTTTGACCTGGACAAACATCCGCAGGGCACAGAGGTCAAGGCCATCACCTACTCCAACCTGCAGGTGCATGACAACGACGACCAGCACGAGGTGTTTGTGATAATCGATATTTGACGTGATACGGGTCGCTACCGAACACCGTCTTGTGCCGCCGGGGCGTGAGGTTTGGCTGTCAGCCAACGCGGTCGCCGCCGTCTGCGGTAGAGAACAGTGTCCGTGTGCATAAGGAGGAAGCCAGATGTGTTGACCCTGCTCTGCGCGTCAGATGGTGGCTGGACCTGACTTTGCAACAGGTTACCCAGCGGCGAATGGCGATGACGTCCGTTTATGACTTATGTATCGACCTAGGGACTTCGGAATTTGAATAGAAGCGGACTGTTATAATGCAGACATCGAATGTGATTGTTTTTGCTACCAAAGTCAAGGTGCGCTCGGGCGGCGCTCCTTATAATAACTGGTTGTCTATTTGGTCAGCATGGCCAGTCTGTTGTAGCTTTTAATATGTGTCTTATTGTTTGGAGCTGCAGGTGATGGGATGCTCAGGCCTCCTGACTTCACATCGCTATGAATGCATATAAATGCAGTGACGTGATCAATGCCGGTTTGATCTAAATAAAGGAGAGTTGGGGATCCTGCCAACTCCTGTACAACACTGGTTTCATCAATCATTCGACATGATAAAAATGGGCGAGAATGAAGTTGTTTTCTTCCGTCTTCAAATGCAGAATGGCTTTACGTACTGTTCTGTTTGAAACAAAGTTAACGACACTATCTCTGGCAGTAATGGAAAATGGGAACAAAAACGCTTTAATCCATGTACAAACGCAACTTCGAATCGGGTTTGGGCGAGCTCCGAAACCAGCTAAAGAACTTCATGAAACTGTTTGTCTGAGGTGTGGAATTTGGTGCAACGCAGCGTTTCAGGAGGTGTTTTTGCATAATTATTTGCCACTTTGGGCACGCCATTATCGTGTACTGGCTTGACTAGGGGAATCGTGGGATCTAGTCACGGGATAAATAAGCTGCATGCCGGGTCATAAGGGAACTCAAATTCCGTGATCACCTGTACTGATGGAGGAACACGCGCGACTTGCCCTTCTCTTTTACCGTTTTTGCGCACCGTCTTATGCTTAGTGTCGCCTAGCGCTGCGGGAGCCCCGCACATGGGCCGCCGTCTCTACTGCATACAGCTGGCATTGTTGATTTCGTCAATCGCCATCCTCCGGCATTCCAGCATCTCACGGGAAGACTGGCTTGCTGTGACGTTATTTCCACTTACATCATTATATCGTAGAGCATCAAAGCATGCATGCACTTTGAACAAGTAAGCACTAAGCGTGAACAACGGTGCAGGCAGGTATGGGCGTAGGAACAGGGGGGCCATGGCCCCCCGCTTTTCAAGGTGGGGGGGGGGGGGGGGCAGCAGCGTTAACTGGCCCACACTTTGCAGATTAAGGTTGTGTTTAGCTCACTTTTGCACCACGTTTAAATATACCTGTCGATTTACTTAGTTCACCAGCCATGTTCCTCAAGATGTTTCATCTTTTCGTCTGCCTATTGGCTATTGCTCAGCGTCACGGCCGCAGGCCGACACCAAGCGGCCTATGGAGACTGCAACGCCGGGTGCTCAAGCTGTTGCTGTGACTTGCGAGCGCGTACGTTCTAAACCTTATTGCTTAGTTTTTTTTTATCAGTAATCAATTCTGACTGGATGTTGAAAATTTTAAGAGGAGCATGGATTAGCTTTGTTAATATAAGTTCAGGACCCCATTCCATCCCCAATCTACGTTCAGGAATTCCTCAATATCTCTGAGGAAAACAGAAAAACACGACACTGGAACCTGTGTGACAATTATTGAACCACCTTTGACGATAACGGATGTTGTTGCTACTATGAGGGTTCCTGTGCTAATCCGGGGCCAACTGCGCGGGTCAGAAGGCTTCCCTTGTCAGGGATGGGAACAATGTGATATGATATATCCTTCCAATGGCCTCCGAATCGACCGGGAAATCCCGCCCCATGTCGCTAGAATGACAGCCAGAAGATGCTTCGCGGTGGGACGGAGTGGCCCATCAGCTCTAGACGGGAACCAGTAATGTGCCTTTGGCGTTCTACTCAAGGGGCCCCTTGCTTAGAAGGAAATTAGGGACCTCATTGTTGTTAAGTGGAATAGAGGTGTCATTATCGTTGAAAAGAATAGGTCGAAGTGAATTTTAACAAACGAACAGGGCCATCCCATGTTTGCTTAAGAACGATTCTTTTTCAGGATGGATTAGTGAAAAGTGCATCAAAAGGTTTGAACATGCTCGCCCGCAACCTCGAGAGCAAGGATGGCGATGGTCTGGGTTGCAGCTTCCGTACAACCGAACGGCGTCGGCCACTGCAAGTGCCACCAGACGGCGGGCGCCGTGTTGATCTGTCTTCTGGACAGATTAATAGTTACAGAAACGCGAAAAATAGAGGATCTACCTTTACTTTTCCAGTTCCACCACCAGATTCAAGCACCACTTCGCGGTGCTTTAAGGGATAATTCGTTCTTATCATCAGTCTAAAAATCGCGCACGTGAAATAGGTGCCCAGACTGCCTTGTAGATGTAATATTTGGTGTTCGGAAGCGTTTCAAGGTACTTCTTTCAGAAGCGTCATTATTTTCGTCCACCCGTAGGCCAAGGCTCATTATCAGCTGTTGAGCCGACGCTGCGCGGCCTACGGAGACTGCAACCTGGCGTCGAGATTTTTAAGTAAGGTTTGCGAGTACGCATGCACAAAATTACGCCACATAACTTGTATTACTAACCGATTCAAGTGTTAAAAGGTAATGATTTCGGAACCATTATTATTTGCATCATTTTCGTCCACCGGTGGACCACGACGAAATGTCAACCATTGAGATAGCGCCCCGCTGACTAGGGAGACTGCATTGCCTGCTGTCGAGGTTTGTACTGCGAAGATTTGCGAGCGCGCATGTTAAAAACCACGCCATATAAATGTATTCGGAATCACATTGCGGCTGGACCACTCCACACGCAACGACGAACTGCCGCACACAACGCCGACAGAGTCCCGACAGCGGGGGCCGCGAGCCGGGGCCGTGCGAACTGCGGCGGCGGTGCGCATCTGCCGCGCAGCCGGGGCCGGCCTGCGAACCTGACCACATGCCGCGCCCCGCCCCAGCAGGGGCGCAGGACACATACAACTGCACTTCAAACAATAAAATGTGTCACTTATTGATTCTGACTGAATGCTGAACACTTCCGAACAAACATGGCTTGGCGATGCTAAAACACATTGTTGACCACGCGATCTACAATCAAAATTTCGTCCTCAAATTTCGATCAAAGACATCGCTCTTCATTCCACCTTCGCGGTGTCCTCAATGCCTGAAGAACGCAGGTAAAACATGAAAAAGCTTCTGAATTCTATCGGTTTAGAAAGAGTCTACTAAGCCATTGCAAATACGTACACCGGTGATTTATTCCATGCGGTCGTTAAACGCCTGATTTCTGTAGTTTGTTGACATAAACGCGCGCTCGGGTGGGGGTCAAATTGGCTCGTCCCAAAAGTTTTTCCAGAGTGGGCTCCGAACGGTGCGGCGCAGCCGTGCTCTGTTTTGCATAGCTTTAGACTAGTGAATGGCGGATCTTTTCGCATCAAAATTTGATATGTACTTTGTAAGGTCGCTGGCCTATGGCAGGTCAATGTCGGGCCACGGTTTCAGCGAGGACAACTTCTAGGGAATCGCTCAATCCGATGCAACATTGCGGGTGTTAGACGAAGCCATAAATTTCTGAGATGCTTTCTTAGGCAGCACAGATACTGAATGAGCAAATTATGTTGACCTAAGGTCAGATAAAAAGGTCAGACCAAGGTCAAAGCCAACCTGTTTTATTACTGTAGGGCTTGCTGTATAGGATGGTTTCTGGGGCTCATTTCGAATTTGTTGACAGCAGCAACCGTATTATACATCTTCCATGTACTTGTTAGAGGTCGGAAAAGATCATTGACCTACAATGACCTGGGTCAGCATTTTTAAAAAAGAAAATCACTACCAAGCGAAATCTTTGTCGCTTATTCAAATGCAAAGCTCAGAGCATTCTTGCAGGATTTTGGTCACCATGACCTTTAAAAGGTCAAGCAGGGTTTCTGACCTTAAGTGAACATGTGACCTTTTGCTTAGAAACAGATATCTATGTCCTGGGGGCACTTACGAGACCAACCTGATATTTGACCTTGTTTGACCTTATTTGACCCGAAAGTCATGACCTAAGAAGATTAAACTTTGACCTAAGTGAGCTCACGTACAGGTCAACGCACGCTGTGAATTTGGTGTTTCTAACTCTCTTAGTTACTGAGATCTCAGAGGGCGGGGTCAAATTGACCCCCCACTCGAACGAAGGGTATGTAGCAGGCCACCCGGACGCGTGTTAAAAATATGAACAGAATTATTCCATGGTAGCCTCTGGTTTTTGTTCTGGTTACAGCATAAAAATGACAATGCAACGAAGAAAACCGTATGCCTCGCTAACATGTAAACGATATCTGGGGATATTTTTGTGGGGGGATCACCATAAAGGGGGCTTTTGTCAACACTGTGTTCCTCTTAGCAAGGCTCTGGCTACCCCCTGCCTGCACACAAAAGCAGATCAAGTCATCTACGCTGAATGACGGGCAATAAGATGTCCGTTGGGTCAATTCATACCTAAAGTAGGCAGCTTTCCGGCGGGATTTTTCTGGGGTGGTGTGGTGTAAGGGAAGATGATTCGGAAAAGGTACTGTTGCAGGTGTCCAACACATGTTTTACATCCCAATTAGTAGCAATGCTGATCCAGAAATGTGCAACAAAGCGGCCGTACCATCAGTTATCGGTCAGTCATTCGAAGACAGCCGGGACAGGACAGTGGCCACCGACGGCGGACGGGAGGAGAGCTAGACAAAGAATATATGACAGAAGGGCCTGCATTCTGTGGCTTGCTTTTCAAAGGAGAATCTCCAGCTCTATGGTTTTTGTCACATGGTTTTTGGCAGTTTCAAGCTTCCGAATTTATTTCCGCCTAAAATGCCGCGACAAGTCTTATCTCCTGAAAAGCGCCCAGCAAAATAAAGGTGCATGCAAAATCTGTTGTGCCGTGAGGATCGATTCACTTTCAAAATTTTCTCCAGCCTATGCGCAGGCCATATTTTGGCATCTACTTTGTGGAGACAAATGGCTCCTCGATGACCCAAAATGCCTACCCGTTTGTGGATTTCGGCTCCCAGGAAAGATAAGGTTGAAATAGACGAATAATCTTGGGAAGGTGGACAGCATTATTTCCCGAATGACATAGATGAGCTGGGTAGGCAGGAGTGTGCGTAGCAGTCACTGTGTGATGCTAGAATATGCATGCAATGACTGCTAGAATAGCAGTCATTACATTTGAGTAAAGAGCGATGACCTCCATCTCTAGCCCCCTCCCCCCCCCCCCGGTCATCGGGATTTTTTCCGGAAAAAGTTCCTGAATTACGCCCCGAGCTTGCCTCCCCCCCCCCCCACACACACTTTTTGAAACGTTCCAACGCCTATGCATGCAGGCTTCTGCGGCTGATTGCTACGTCTGATGCTGGATGTCCCGGATGTCCTTCATACGGAGCCAAGTTTCCGCCTGGATATCCTTCATTTGGAACAAGTTTTCCAAGCCATGCAAAGAGGCGCATCTGCGACGAAATGCCTAATTATGTATTGGCTGCAATACGGCCCTGGCCTGCCGCGGAGTAAAAAATACAGGCCTGCAGGAATATATCGCCTGTGTTTGGAACGGCCGAATGTGGAACAGTGGCTTTAGGCGGGTGTATTATCTTTGCTGCTTGTTGTCACTGGCTCTGCAGGTCAATATAGGTTATGCAATCCTGGATAGCCGGGAAGGATTTGCCGAGGTTGGTGGGTGGAGATAAGCACTGTTTAGTGTTAAACCTTTTGCTTTCCAATTGGTGCTATAGGGATACTATGCATAGAGATAGTCCTTAGGTACGCAGGGCTTACCCTTAAGGTTGATTGTTTTGGGTAGGGATGAGTTGTGGTTGTAGTGAAAGTGGAAATGATTGCCACCCATGCCCATGTAGCTTATCCCTGCTGTGCTAAGGTCTTCCAAAAATCCGCAAAGTTCAGTGATCATATGTGTGATGCTAGTAGTTTGTTCATGTCTATACATGCATATGGATGCTTGATCCAGCATGGATTTACAGAATCACAGCACATGTGAAGAAGTGTTTGTTTCAACCCATATGCAACAATCAACATAATTGTTATGCAAAAGCTTGATAAGTTGCAGTGCTTCGCAGGACACGTCCCACATTGTCATGTCATGTTGCCTTTAGCCTGGCTGCTGTCACCACCTGAACATCATCTGAAGTGTCTTGAGCTTGCCTCAGCATGGACAGATTAATGTGAAGATGATGCTTTATCTAATTAAGCTATCCAGGTTCACAAGTCCCATGGTCTTAACATCTATCTATCTATCTATCTATCTATCTATCTATCTATCTATCTATCTATACATATATATATATATATATATATATATATATAATGCTGTCAGCTATATTGAGGCTAGGTATTGAAATCAATTGACATTATCCAGCTTTTAGTTATGCTAAGTATTTTAGATATCAAGAGCTTAGCTATCAGGTTTTCAGTTTGATAACTCTTAGTAGTTGCCAACAGATGTGCATAATTCATATGTTGCAATGTATGAGCAGCAGTGATGTTTACACTCTAAAGCTGCATTGAAATGCACTGTTATTAGATTGCAAAGCTGGCTATGCTGTACCTACCAGATGATGACATGATAGTGGAGCCAGCAGATTGGTCCTGTGCCCTTGCAAAAGTCAAAATAAGTTTTCTGGCTCAGCCCATTGCCACGTAATACCACTTAGCTATGTTTTCACTGCATATACATTTACATTTTCAGATTAGGTCAACTGCTGACACAAGCTGTTTGGCTCCATCTTAGACCTGTGGACATTCTTTTACTGATTTGCTTCATTGCACTCTAAGTGTGTGTAATGTGATGTGATATTTTTGGTCTTGCTGTTGAGACTGAAACTGGACTCTCTTTTCTTTATTTTTGGTTTAATTCTCTTCATCTCAGTCTACATGTGTTCATGGCTGACTGGCAGGAACTGCATGCCAGGCACTCACTGCCCCAGTGCGAGTTTGCTGCTGACAGCTGGCTGTGCTTGGCAGCTGGGCAGTGTGTGGCGCCTGACCGTGTGACGGTACGTCCGCCGGCGGCCGGCGCCATGTGGCCCCCCACGTACGCGCACCACCACTCGTCGCGCTGCAAGTCGGCGCTGCGCCCTCTGGCTCCACTTGCCTGGACCTACGAGATGCGCCGCGAGATGCAGGAGATCCTGCCCGGCCTTTTCCTGGGTCCGTACAACGCGGCCAGCAGGACCCAGGTGGGCCGCGCCGCCGCTGCTGCTGCTACTGCTACCACTGCTGTGCTGCTGCTACCGCTAGTGTTGCTGCTGCTACGCCAGTCTTTATTCATGGCCAGTAAAAACCCAGTTGGTTTCCGCGTCGAGTGGAATTTTTATGACGAGGCCAAACAGCTGCACTGGCCAGGTGCATGCTTCCGAAGCGACGCTGCTGCCTGTGGAGTGTCACTGGCATTATGCGACCACAGCATCAAATTGTATCCATGAGATGTACTGTATTTGCGGCTATATCCATCGTGCCGCTGGACAGTGAGTGCACGGGTCGTGGTGGGTGAGGTGTCTGAGGGCAAGCGGCGTCGCCTGGCCGGCCAGCCGTGTTCCTGACCGTGTGCTTGCACTTTGCCACAGCTGGATCACCTGCAGCAGGTGGGCATCACGCACATCGTCTGCGTGCGACGGAGCGACGAGGCCAGTCGCATACGGCCGAACTTCCCACACATGTTCCAGTAAGTGATGGCTGGCCGGCGGCCCCGACTGGAGGCGACGGCGCTGTGTCGGAGCGTCGCCGGACTGGCGGGGGCCGCTCTCGCGGAGGGTGTGTCGGCATAACCGTCTGCAGCCCCGGTGGTGACAGCCGGCCGGGCCCTGACCGCCGGCCGGCTGACTCACCATTTGGTCAGTAGGGTTGTCTGACCATGCAGCTGTGACGACCTGTGCTGGGACCTCCAAACTGGTGCTCGCGCGGGGCAGTGAAATCTGCGATGGATGGTTTTCGAAGCGGCGACCCCTCCCGTGCCGGGTGCAGCAGCGTCAGCGGCTGATGCGGTCTGGGGGCCGGCAGGTACCTGGAGGTGGAGCTGTCGGGCGCGGCCGAACAGGGCGTGCTGAGCCACGTGGCGCCGGTCAGCGCCTTCCTGGACGAGGCGCTCTGCTCGGGCGGTCGCGCGCTGGTGCACGGCAACCTGGGCATCTCGCTGTCGGCCGCACTCGTCGTGGCGTACGTCATGCGGCGGCTCTCGCTGTCATTTGGGTGAGTCGGCGGCTCTCGCTGCCATTTGGGTGAGTCGACGGCTCTCGCTGCCATTTTGGTGAGTCTGCGGCTCTCGCTGCCATTTTGGTGAGTCGGCGGCTCTCGCTGCCATTTGGGTTAGTCGGTGGCTGTCGCTGTCACTGGGTTGAAGCGGCTACGATTGTGGCCGAAGAGCAATTTTCTTATATTTGGAAGGAAGTGTGTGTGCTCTAGTATGTCAAAGCTAGCAAATGCATGGGATGATTTATATAACTAAGCCCACCTAAGGCTGCGCGCTTCCTTGGACACCACATGCCGACTTATAAATAGGTAGACACCTAGTAGTTGTGCAATATTCTTACATTGCTATTGGAATGTGGAAGGCTGGCTTAGGCGGGAGGTTATTCGCCAACAAAGCTATCAAACAGTTTTACTGAACTCGCTGTATCACTGTTTGGTGTTGCGTCGGAGAGGAGTTCTGGGGCGCGTCGACTGCAAAAGGTTTTGCAGTTGGTTTCTATGTCGCCAACCCAGGATACAAGATTTACAGCAAGGCGTACCGTCATCTGGGGAGGTCATGGTTACTTGCCTCCAGCTCTTATACTCGGCATCTCCTCTGGGAGCATGACGTAGCGTTCTTTGACTCCTGCATTTCAGTCTTCCACGTAGCCCCGTGTCTTTCCGTGCCGCACACCGCCCTACCTACGTACCTCCGTACCCCGTGCCCCCCCCCCCGTGCCCCTGTGCCCCCGTGACCCCGTACCCCCGTACCCCCGTGCCCGTGTGCTCACGTACCCCTATACCCCCATACCCCCATACCCTCATACCCTCATACCCTCATACCCTCGCACCCCGTTCCCCCATACCCCCATACCCCCATATCCTCGTACCCTCGTACCCTCGCACCCATACCTCCATCCCCTCGCACCCCGTTCCCCCATACCCCCATACCCCCATGCTCTCGTACCCTCGTACCCCCCATACCCCCATACCCCCATACCCCCATCAACTCATACCCTCGTACCCCCATACCCCCATACCCTCGTACCCTCGTACCCCCATACTCCCATACCCCCATGCCCCCATCCCTCGTACCATCGTACCCTCGTACCCCCATACCCCCATACCCTCGTACCCTCGTACCTACCTCGTACCCTTGTACCCTTGTAGCCATACCCCATACCTTCGCACCCCGTTCCCCCATACCCCCATACCTCCATACCCCCATACTCTTCGTACCCTCGTACCCTCGTACCCCATACCCCATACCCCCATACCCTCTTACCCCCGTACCCCCATACCCCATACCCCCATACCCTCACACCCCCTTCCCCCATACCCTTGTACCCTCGTACCCCCGTACCCTCATACCCATACCCGCATACCCCATACCCCATACCCCCATACCCCCATACCCTCGTACCCTCGTACCCTCGTACCCTCATGCCCTCATACCCTCATACCCTCATACCCTCATACCCTCATACCCTCATACCCCATTCCACCTTTGCATGGGAAGTACTGATATGCCCCGACCCTGTACCTGTCATCTCCTCGGAATGGATGCGACGAAATAACGTTTTTGTTACCCTTGTGTCTTTCCTAGGTGGTTGCGAGGAAATCCATGTTTCCGACAACAGTGCATGCTTGCAAAGAAAGATGACTGCGTGTTTCGAACTAGTGTATTCCTATACGTGATCTGGAAAGGGACAAAGCGACCATTCTCTGGCCCGTGCTTCTCTGAATCTCCTCAAAATGAGGCGACTTGGCGCATCTCCACCTCACTGCTCCCACATCTCCTCTGGATGGGACGGGGTGGCGTGCCTGTGACCGAGCGTCGTCGCCGTGCCTGGACAGGGCCGCCAGCAGTCTGGTGGCGGAGCGGCGCTACTGTGTCCATCTCAGTCCGGCCCTGGTGCACCAGCTGCACGAGTACGAGCCCATCTGCCGCGCTGAGGCGGCCTTCCTCGGCGGCCACTGCAGCGGCGGCCGCCGGCGCCACAAGCGCTCCTGCGACCAGCTGGAGGACGACAACGAGCCCATGGACCTGACCACGTGAGGGCGCTGGCCGGCCGTCGTCGGCCGCGCTGTCGCCCCGCCGCGTCCGGTGGTCGCCGTGTGCTCGGGTGACAGGAGTGCGCGCGGGCGCCGTCCACACGGAGCCGTCCGCACCGTCGGCTCGGCACCGGGGCGCAGCGCACTGCAGGAGCTGAGCCCATGCAGGCTGGGACGGCGCCGGCCCGTCTCCCCGGACTGTCCGTCAGCGTTGTCTGCCGTCCCGGCCCGGAGAGGCAGGCGAACTTTGACAGCCCCTCGTCACTGGATGGCAGGTCCGAGCTGCACTGACCGGGTTTCAGACTAGTTGGCGTGTTGTGGGCACCTCCGGCGGACCCGGATGTACGGTTTTAGGCAGGCTCTGAGCTGGTGGAGGAGCTGGAGGCAGCTACAATGCGCCGGCGACGCGCTGCCGCTGCGTGTCCCCCGTCCGGGTGTACTGCGCTGGCTTTCTGTGCGCAGTGCCGCGCAGTTGGGGCTGCCGTGAGGCTCCTACCAGCTGGCCCTTGGCCGTCACCCGCGTGGTCGGGCGGCCGGGGCCGTGTCCCGTTCTCACGGTAGCCAGCCGGTGCCCGTTACTGCGCTCGGTGGCGACCGACTCGCAGCCGTGTCCCAAACAGGCCTGCTGGTGTTCTTGAGCACGCGCACACGCACAGCTCCCAAGTACTGCCTGGGACACTGCCTGCGGACGTTCTGGTCCAGTCTTTTGGCGTCGGATCCCGACCAGCACCGCTCGCCGACGGGGCCGGCTTTAGCCTGGTGACTGGAGCAGCGCGGTCGGGGCGCTCCCGCTCCTTCAGTACCACGCCCGTCCGTCAGCGACCACAGCCAGCCAGGCCAGCCAGCCCTCGAACAGGCGTAAGCGAGGGCTTGCGCGATTCATCGTCCGGCGGTTCTGTTCCCCCCCGAGTGTGAGCAAGACTGCAGTAGTGTGCTTGCCGGTAAGTTGGCTGCCACAATTTACTGTTAAACCAGGTTTACTGAGTTCATTTAGACTCGGTGCATGCCAAAGACACTGACAGGAATTTTGCTGCAAGCAGAGTTACACCGGGCTAGTCTGTGCCGGCGGACATGTCAGCATGTGTACACACTCGCATCCTCACACATCTCTTCCTCGCCGTCTATCCCACCATATACGCCCACTTCACTGCGTGCGCAGTACGCACATCATGTCATCGCCCTGATAGCGTCATTCAGGGCAGGGCTTTAGGGGTTCTGCGTTTATACAGTTTCGACTCCGTATTTTATTAGCGGCGTCGGCAAGCACTCGTGGCTTACGTCAGGCGTACCTGCATGACATTGGTTGGATAGCGTGGACTTTCAGTAGCAGGCTGCGATAATCGGGTCTCATACGTCCGCGGGGCATGGCTCACGCTCTGTCTATATTCCCGTCGTGGCTTCTGTATTGGTTATTGCCGGTCATTGTATTGACGTGTCAGTGAACATCTGGTGAGAGAGCCTCCATCATAGGTGCCCCGAGTTTGTATTTTTCTACTCCCGTATAAGTGTAATACATGCGTTACTTGGTTCTGTTGTCCGCGCTGTATGCGACAGTGTGGAATGCAAAGAAGCCGTGGAAAGTAAAATAAATGTGAAGTAACGGTAGGCCTGCTTGTGTTATGTTTTGGGCGGGCAAGATAAATTCCAGTCAACCAAGACATCAAGGTATGTTATCCAGGATACCCAAATACAGGCGGTGTATTTATGTTGATCTTGTCTGGACCGTCGTTGGGTGGTCACGGCGGCGTCGGTTCGTTCCGTCGCGTGCTCGCCTCTTTGCATGGCTCGGCTCCGTCTGCTGGCCGTGATGGGGGCGGGTCATCGGCCGCTGGCCCAGGGTCTGGGGTCAGGTCGCAGGTCCACCGGGCCGAAGCGGGCGGGGCGGGGCGGCGGCGGCTGGCCCGGGGTCTGGGGTCAGGTCACAGGTCCACCGGGCCGAACCGGGCGGGGCGGGTCGGCGGCGGCTGGCTCGGGATCTGGGGTCAGGTCACAGGTCCACCGGGCCGAAGCGGGCGGGGCGGGGCGGCGGCGGCTGGCCCGGGGTCTGGGGTCAGGCCACGGGCACATTGAAATGGACCGGACAGGGTGGGTCGGTGGCCGCTGGCCCGGGGTCTGGGGCCAGGTTAGAGGCCCACCAGACCGGACCAGACAGGGTGGATCGGTGGTCGCTGGCCCGGGGTCTGGGTTCGGGACACAGGCCCACCGGACCGGATCTGACGGGGTGGGTCAGTGGCCACTGGCCCGGGCCTCAGCACCGCCGCCTGTCTGGGTGTAGATCATCCACAGGGCACCGGTACCATATGTTTCCCGCGTCGGCCGCGCGGAGGTCGTCCTCTCATGCCATGTCCGACGGACGGCGCGTCCTGACGGTGGGGCTCGGCTCGGTGGCATGCGTGCCTTAGTGCCTATGTTTTTGGCGCGTAGCTAGAGCATTTTTTTCTGGGAACGAAAAAGGGAACGAAATGTCACTGATATGGCGTTACGAGATATGCATGTTATTCACGACAAGGATTATAGCAAAGTTGAACGGTTGCATAGGTGATCATAGGCCTGGATAAGTGGAGGTGATTTAGTTTCGTTGAAATGAAACACGTCAAACGAACGTTATCACGATCTAAGGTTATGCAATACTCTTGAAAATATGCTGAAGGGAACTCTGATGTGGTGTCGTGGCGGATCCAACGGATGGGAGGCTGGCTGGCCGCCGACCTGATCCAACGGACGGGAGGTTGGCTGGGCGCGGACCTGGCTGCCTCTGAGATCCAACGGACGGGAGGCTGGCTGGGCGCGGACCTGGCTGCCTCTGAGATCCAACGGACGGGAGGCTGGCTGGGCGCGGACCTGGCTGCCTCTGAGATCCAACACACAGGAGGCTTGTTGGGACCGGGCTCGGCTGCCTCTGAGATCCAACACATGGGAGGCTGGTTGGGACCGGGTTCGAGTGCCTCTGATATCCAACAAGCGGAGGCTGGCTGGGACCGGGTTCGGGTGCCTCTGATATCCAACAGACGGGAGGCTGGTTGGGACCGGGTTCGAGTGCCTCTGAGATCCAACAGACGGGAGGCTGGTCGGGACCGGGTTCGAGTGCCTCTGATATCCAACAGACGGGAGGCTGGTTGGGACCGGGTTCGAATGCCTCTGATATCAAACAGACGGGAGGCTGGTTGGGACCGGGTTCGAGTGCTGCATTCCCGGCAGAGACATGCTGTCTTGGCCGCGACTGCAACGCCAGCACACAACCACATCGACGGTTGTCATACTACCTCTTCTCGTCGTTGGAGAGAGAAAACAGACGCATTTACCACCTTCGCGGGAAATAACCTGCTTCGCGCCAGACAGCAGATGTAAGTCTAGTAGCTGCCTATTCCAGTGTGGTAGACAATAATAGATGTTGGCGAAGTTAGCGATGTGAATGATGTTCCAGCTATTACAAATTTACATCCAAACTTCTGGCGCGAACGACAGAAATCTGTAAGAAACAAGTGTCAGAACATTATGATGAGGAAGATTTTCTTCACCAAAACTCAACGGCATTTGTGGCTAACATCGCTCTCATCAGATAGCCTGTTTCAGCCAAGTTTTCATCATGATATTATTCCATCTTTGATGATTGATCTTAGGTCTTATTCGAGCTTACGAGAGAGGTAGGGTGCAAAATGTAAAACGTGGATTGAACGCAACAACTTACCTGAGGTCGGAGCTAAAAAGAATCTCAAAGACTGCGAATACAGATTTACATCAGGACGTTGGCAGTTAACAACAGCCGTGGACCTATAAGCTGAAACACAGGAGTAGATGGCAGGGTTCCTGAGGTTCCACCTCGAAATCGTTGCTCATTGGAGAGCTCAAACAGTCTAGTGAGGTGGCCTTCGGCTCCTAACGCCGCTATGGGTTTGGGTTGTGGCACTCTCAGTCGTTTGACCCTAAAGTCAACATTAATCGACAGGAGGTTTTTTTAAAGAAAGCTTGCTCTCCTCGTAGTTTGACAAGTTAACGGATGTCTGTCTTTCAATGCTGCTTTTTTATTTGTGCTGGTAATTTTAGACGTTCCGGCGTTTTTGTGATTCTACTTTGGGTTTACTTGCTGAGGTAAAAACACACACAACACACAACACACACACACACACACACACACACACACACACACACACACACACACACACACACACACACACACACACACACACACACACGCACACGCACACGCACACGCACACGCACACGCACACGCACACGCACACGCACACGCACACACACACACACACACACACACACACACAGATATATATGTATATTTATATATATATATATATTTATATATATGTGTATATATATATATATATATATATATATATATATATATAAAACGGAACCTGTGGGTTAACGGCTATAGGGCCGGTGGCAGGGCTACTAACGTTTTTAGGCTCATTATGCGTCCTTTTGCTGTTTGTAGCGACGGATGCGGCAGTTTTGGCGTGGCATTCTGCACCCTACCCATGTTTTGAGCTTGCAGCAGATATTGAAGGTCAATAACTGTCATGGCGAGAACGTCGGTGACGCTAGAAACCGTCACGGACTATCTTGTGAGAGTGGCTTTGTCGCCAAATGGGAAATTTCAGCAAGTTTTGGCTTTCTTGCGTTCCCATCATTTGACATTGAATTTTAAGTTCCAGGACAACATCTTTATTACATAATATTCGGTCTACCACGAAGACTGAAAATTAGTATCGCCTGACACGGGTCCGTTCACCTGCGCCGGTATGTTTGAACGTTTTGAGTTTAGACGTCTTAACCAAACTCGAAGTCGAATGACAGGAATTTTCCGAAGTCTGGACGCTTCCTGTCATTTGGCCTTAAATTTGCCTTGCAGATCAGGGTTACTTAGCATGAAGCCTTTGCCTATCCGATATTTTGACCCGATCTTTCCTTTGTAATCGTTTTTTGTTGCATTGATATTTTCGGGTGATATTGCGTTCACGTCCTTTGATCTTGAATTTGATCCCGAAGGGCGAACGCTGTCGCAAACCGCAAAATGGTCCTCAGCGACTGATAAAATCGACGACGAACTTCTCTGAGCAAAAGCTTGGCGAAATCTGGCGTCGCAGTTCAACCCGAATTCGAACACGTTACCAACTCTACGGACATCAATAGTCGTTAGCGGTTGTGATGCTGTATCAACCGGGAGAGCGGCGGGGCGAAGTGGGGGGGGGGGGGGGGGCGGACAGACTAGGTAGGCTGGAAGTCTCGTCGTGACATAGAGTCCCATTTGTTTTATTTTCGTTTCGGAAAAGAAGTTAACTGAAATCTAAGTACTAATTATTGTGCCTGAAAAGTTACCTGTCCTCAAAAATTGAACGGAAGGAAACCTGATGGCGTCTCCCCATTGTTCGTGCGTCTCCGTGTGGGAATTCCTGTGCATGCTGCGATAGCGTGTGAACCGCGCTGGAGAGTAAGCGGGGAGATTGTGACAGAGCAGGTATCATTAGCTATCTCGGTCTAGCACATTTTGGGCCTTCGAATTATGCTTTCCGTCTTTTACAGCACTACACTGCGTAACACCCTAAGACGACTTCGGCTTTAGAAATGCAGTTCCAGCTGGTGCTTCTTCCCTTGATGGCTTAAACCGTTACGTGTCACCGGCGCCAGTCGCCTAGCTCCGCTGCTCAGCCGTGCTCAATGTCGGGGCGCACACGCCGGGAGATGGCAGCTCTGTGTGGTTTGAAACGAATCAGCGTGTGCACTGGAGCGTGCGCGTATTTTGATTCCTGGGGCACGTGCCCTCCCTTATCGTTTTTTTATTATACGCATTAGGCTACGTGCACGTGATTTAATGTCTACAAGGATAGATTCGGAGTAGACATACAAAAATAAGTAGATAAAAGTATGCCATGCCGTTTTATGGTATGGAACAAATTTCGCGCGTCTGTAGCGCGCTAGACTTGGTTTTCAATGAAAACCTTTGAATTGCACCCTGCCATTGCGAAATTCTGTGTACGCCCCTGTATGCATTGCAGCGTAATTAAAACCACAGTCTCATGATAACTAAATCTTCTGTACCTTGGGGACAAGCTTCCGGCCTCGGGCAAACTTTCAGACCTCAAGTCCCCCCCCCCACCCCGACTTTTCGGAAGTTTTCTAGCGTCGTCGACATTACGGCCTTATATTGCACACTGAAAAACAGCTCACATGCACACACAGGCACCGCTGATACCGAATGATATGCGGTGTAACTACATCTTGCGGTATCTGCCCGCTGCCACGCGCGTGAAATATTGTGTGAGCGGCCATGCTTGCATGCGTGGTGGCGGACGTTCACCAGCAGCTGCTAAGCACTCGGACGTCAGGACAGGGCACTGTTCGAGTTAAAGCTCGAGCAACCAGACATTACAGCTGCAAACCTCGCCATGCTGGGTGGCGGAGGTGTGCTGCGCAGAACCCATTAGCAAGCGCAGATCCATTAGTCTTCCCGCGCCGGATAGCGTACCCTTGGACATGACTCGGTGGACGCGTGACGCTGCCGCGCCTCAGCCGGCCCCAGCATAGTGACGAGCCGGCGGGCTAGGCCAGGTACACACGGACCGCACGCGCTCCCTCCTCGCTGCGGCGGCGTCGCGTCGGGCACCGCTCCCGAGTGGTGCTGTCATCTGTTGGCGCCATGGCAAAACCAGCGTTCGCGCCGCCGGCATCAGAGGAGCTGAAGTTGTGTCGGCTGGCACCGGGTGTGCCATAGGCGGAGTTGACGCTGCCGAGTGAGAGCGTTCGCCCCAGCCGGGGCCGGCCCTCGCCCTCCAGATGCTGCTGTTGAACAAAGAGCATAACATGGACATCGCGTCAGCAGATGGCCGATGGGAAGCACATAACCTCGTGTTCGCGAATCACGGGCAGTACTTGTCCGATCACTGGCCTTACGGGAATAGAACCATATGTTGATGAAGGGTTTGGTTTTGGCTAGGATGTATTTGTATGATCTCAAAATTATTTTGCATGGCTATGAGAGTGGGGAAGGAACATGGCCCGGGGATTAGGGAGCGGCTGCGGGGTATGACTGAAGCCACATTATTTAATTCTTGGCACCGAGATTTGCCCCGCACTGGAGGCCTGTGTGGCGGCTTGCGCGGGTGCTCGGGTGAAAAATTGTCTTTTCTGTCACCGACGAAATTTGGGACTGTCTAACTTGTCACCTGGAGTCAAGTCGTTCGGAGACCGTTGCAACATATTTCTAAATGCGATACACCGAAATTATAAAGACAAGTTACGTATAATGCAGCATAACCATGAAACATTTTTGCCTCGGGAGCTCATTTCTACCCAAGTGTCATTCGCTTGCCATCGAACACTGAGTGCTGGCTGAGACTAGCATAATAGAGTTATCAGATAAAAGCATTTTTAACATAACCAGCCTAAGGGCGTGTAGCTTTCTATTGAGTTTGGGGGGGGGGGATCAATGGGAGGCAGAGTTGTGCCTTCTAACCAGGGATGCAGTTTTCTATTTGTAGTGATCATTTGTATCCATTGTTTTTCATGTATCATTATTTTGGGGCTCAGCCACCAAACACCAATCTTGGGAAACTACACTCCGGCTCCCAACTATGAAAAAGTGCGTCAAATATCGGGAGGGAACTGTTCTAAGTGCATCTTGGAGGCAGGTTCAGTCATTTTTCCTTCTGCCCCCCCTCCCCCCTCCTCATTCCATTCCTCACCCTCCTCCTCCCCTCTGTGATTCAGCTCATGACTGAGGACAATCTTTTTCTAGTGAATCGATTCAGCTCACGACTCGTCCCAAAAGGATTGATTCACGAGTCGATCTATGACTCAGCTCGATTCAAACACAAGTCTGGCTTCCAGCTAGGGTCGCCCCGCGGCTGACGATCGCAGCGTGCTTCGGAGCGGCGAGACGCTACGGAGACAAGGAAGGTGGCGACACATGTGGATAAGAGGGTTGATGGGTGTACATCTGATATTGTTTGTCTCCGTAAGCGCAACTCACGGATAACGGCAACAGATGGTGGCGGGCGATGGTGACCGTATTTATAGATGCAGTGGTTTTCCATCGTATCGCATAGGACCAAATTAGCTCGAAGCTCATCCACGCGGTAGCCTTTGAGGTTTTCGGTTCGTTACAACTCTGACGTCATGTACTAAGGAATTCACAACATCGAAGCGACGCATACCATAAATGTACTAATTTGAAAGAAAAACCTACTAAAACACGCGGGGGACCGCATTAACACGCGTAATTACACCCAAGACGTGGGCTTACGGTAACACAGGCCACTAGTATCCCGGAAAAGCCTTCACACGGTCTCAGAATGGGGCCGTAACAAGTATTAAATGGAATCGTCGCATCATAACATATTGCGCTTTGTTATCACTCGTATGGTCCCACCGCTCTTGCGCCGTTCTGCTTTTTCCCACCTTTCTCGAAATTTACCCGACTGCTCCACTCGTCACAGAAAAACATATACGATATCGAATGCTTTCATGCATGCTTTCTCCGTACCACATGTCAAGGGGAGCTTGTTGCGTGTTCCTTGAGCCCACAATCAAAAGTGAGCGGATCAAGTTCAGCTGAATTTTTTCTGCAACCTTCGCACGTGACGGGGATGGGAAGGATGCCACGTGCCGTACAATGCTCCGGTGCGACCGTACGAATCAGGCTGGCCGATTTTGGCTAATTGCCAGCAGACAGCCCTTCACGAGTCGTCATGGCTCAAATCGGCCCGTTAAAATTCGCTACGATTTTCTGCCTTTAACAACTCGCGCTAATGAGGGGGGGAGGAGGGAGGGTAACGCGACCTCCCCTGGTGTCCACAAACTAAAAAAAGATGGAGCTTGGTGGAAGACGCCAGTGGATTGGCATCAGCGATATCTCGCGATTGGTGCTAGTTTCAACGCTGTTGGGTCAGTAAGTTACCACATTACGACAGTTCAAAGGTCGAATTTTCCAAGAATTTGCACTTTGGCTTACATTATCATACTTACGAAACAATTTCTTGTGGCAGCACACAACTTACATAGGCGTATCCTTGTTCAGGTGTGTATTTTCAGGTGTTTTCGGCTTGCACTTACGATATATGACTCCGTTAAAGGGAGTGTTCCACATTTACATGGGGTTTGCAGCTGAAATAGCCATCTTGAACACCTTTTGGTGCTGTCCACAATCCTACCATTCTGAAGATCCAAGCCCCTCTAGTTGCTGAGCAACACGCCCGCGAAAATGGGGATAGGTACATTGGGGCCAGTATTTCATAGTCATCTTGGTGTACATGACACCATAATAACGTCATTCAAATTCTGTCATTCCATAACTCCATTGCGGTGATCAACGCCAGTAAAAATATCATTGTCGAGGCTTTCGTATATGGCGTTATTGAGCAGATTTCCAGACATAACGTCCGTCAGTCGTCCCTCAATCAATGCTGTGTAAGGTGCACCGCGTAATCAAACCATGGCGCATTGAGAAGTATATTTACTAAACAGAGAGTTGTGCCGTCTCGAGCAGTCTTTTCCACCTAAAAAGCATACCTGTAGTTTTAAGTGAGCTTCTTTCGTCATATCTGAAGCTTGCTTCAATGTTTTCGAATGTGAAGCATTCCCTTTATTGTTAAAGAGTCGGCCCACCGCGCGGGCTCCGCGGCACCGTCGGTTACCGCCCGCCGCCGTGTCGGCCGTAGATCATCATGCAGCGTTCCTAAAAGACCGTCGCTGCCCCGAAACCAGAATAGCTAGGGATGCGTTTTTGTTGCCAAAACCCAGGCATTGGATGCCCGATGCAAAACCCGCGCATATATCACTGACAATTCAGGCGTGATCGCAAACTCGATGGAGAGGTATCCTGAAACTCCTTAGGTGTTTTGGGTGTCATCGCACCTCCTCCTACCAGGATGATGGTCACCCACAGTGTTACCTAAGGTCAAAACCGTTCCCGCACCGGGAATCGAACCCGGGCCTCACGGGTGAGAGCCGTGTATCCTAGCCACTAGACCATGCGGGAGACATCACGAGGCATTTCTCGGATTGAAATCGTGCTGCTGGTCTGCCGCCGTTGGATTGCCGCCAACAACGAACTATTTTTATCCCTGTCCATTCACGCCACCGGGCGCACGTTTGCATCCGGGCTCCCCCGCCGTCCTCCCGCCGTCCGCCCCCTCCGAGAAGGCACCCGCCTCCTTGATCTCGTCTCTGGCTGGATTGATTCGCATCTGATTGATTGCTCCCGCCTCCTAATCCCGCTTCTGACTTGATCTCGCCTCTCGCGGGATCAAAGATCACGTACGTTAGCCCTAGCATTGCCCTGATCTAGTTCTGGTTCACGTGCCAGAGGCCAAACGGTTGCAACATTTTTCTGGTAAGTATTTCGGTTGCAAGAATTGACATTCCAAAAAACGTGGCGGTGTCACCATGTGCTTGTTGCATAACGTCCGTTGGCAAATGCAGCCTGTGTCTGAAATATCGGCACAAATAAAATGCCTCCAAGATGCTTATTGGTAGCATCTAGGAGTAAGACTTCAACACAGGTAATATCTTCCTCGCTAAAAAGCACGCTCGAAAAATATCACTACGTCATTTTACATCAAGCTGAAAGACTCTTGAACGTACCGAGCCATTCAAAGGTAATCAATACCCTTTCCACTATCACAGATGCCATGGCCAAGTTGTGAGACATGATCATAATGATCACCAAGCAATCAATCACAGACTTTACCCTCTAGCCACCTTTCTCAAACATTGGTCACGTTCCGATAATAGCAGCACTCAGCATTGATCGACACATTTAGCACACTCAGATCATAGAAGTTGGGGCACAAACTGGCCCAGACGCTGCTACCCGTAGATGGTGGTAATGAACTTAATGGTGGCGTACATGCAGTGACGGAGCGTTTTTAATCGGTCCATTTAGAAGCAGCATCGGACGCCATACCACTTACCCCACCGTTCAAAAAACGCGTTGGACAAAATAGCAAACCATGGGCAACCAACGAATCACAAGGCCTTGGTAAGAGTGGCAGGTCGTCCCGGCATGTACGACGAAGACGTGGCGTTGCAGAGGACGCTGAATGGCACACAGACGCAGCACGATGGTACAAAGCGAAACAGCAGCACAGCTTAGCGGCATGACGGACGAATGCATGACCAATGAATACGAACGAAAGCGACGACACTCGCAGAACACCAACACAACTCACTCCGGTTTCACCAAACCCTGAAATTACTGACGGTCGAAAAACACGGGCTTATTCCTCCATCAGAAACTGCTGATGGAAATATAGCGACAGACGAAACAGTTAAGGCCAGTCTCTCAAACGAACACCTTACATCTCAGACGAACATGAATATTTGTTCAGTAACTGCTAAATTTTCGCAATAAGAATCATCCTAGCCCAGCACTGTAGCACATCTAAGTAAACGCCGATCAAGTCTTCAAGGCACTCAAGTCCTCAAACCCTCACAAATATAGCAGCCCTGACCAAAGTCCAACCAAATCACTTATATCAACAGCTATCCTGATAAGCCCCTCGTAAAAAATCAATCCATAACTGTCCTCGGGAGTTTTTCCAAGATTCTGGAAAGAGGCAGTTCTAACAACTCATCATCAAAATACAGGCTTTCAACTCAACATTCGTCACTACCATTGTATCAGACTTCTATCATGTTGGTCAACAATCCTAGAAAAGCTTGTTTTCACTGCCATGTACTCTCCCGTCAAGACTTACAAGCTCCCATCAGACCGACAGAGCTGGTACCGTCCGTCAAGACTTACAAGCTCCCATCAGACCGACAGAGCTGGTGCCGTCCGTCAAGACTTACAAGCTCCCATCAGACCGACAGAGCTGGTACCGTCCGTCAAGACTTACAAGCTCCCATCAGACCGACAGAGCTGGTACCGTCCGTCAAGACTTACAAGCTCCCATCAGACCGACAGAGCTGGTACCGTCCGAGTCACAGTGCTAAACTACAAATGATGTACATCACTCACAATATCTATAGACTACTGGACTGATGCCGTGACGCGACGGCTGTGCTCCTCGACATTTTACATGTTTTGACAAAATTTGGCATGCCGAACTTCTTTATAAATGCTAATACAACCTATTCTCAACGGGGACTCAACTAGGTTTGCTGAATCTGACAAACGGAACACAAGGGGTAAGAATGGTAAACCCCTATGCTTGGCCATTCATCTGTCTACAGGCGTGAAATTTCACGTACTGTAAAAAAACACCATCAAAAAGACAAACATAGCCCTAAGCTCACTCACCGACATAGCCAGGCACATACATCGCAGGACACTCAGTAGCACACACAAAACATACATCAGACCCAATGATGACCATTGCAATATTGTTTTTGACATACACATTACATTACATTGGCAGTGATTTCAGTGTTTGCTGATATCTGAGTGAGCTGTGATGGTGTTCTACGAGTGTTGTCGCTTTCGTTTGCATTCATTGGTCATGCATTCGTCCGTCATGCCGCTAAGCTGTGCTGCTGTTTCACTTTGTACCATCGTGCTGCGTCTGCGTGCCGTTCAGCGTCCTCTGCATCGCCACGTCTTCGTTGTACATGCCGGGACGACCTGCCACTCTTACCAAGGCCTTGTGATTCGTTGGTTACCCATGGTTTGCTATTTTGTCCAACGCGTTTTTTGTACGGTGGGGTAAGTGGTATGGCGTCCGATGCTGCTTCTAAATGGACCGATTAAAAACGCTCCGTCACTGCATGTACGCCACCATTAAGTTCATTACCACCATCTACGGGTAGCAGCGTCTGGGCCAGTTTGTGCCCCAACTTCTATGATCTGAGTGTGCTAAATGTGTCGATCAATGCTGAGTGCTGCTATTATCGGAACGTGACCAATGTTTGAGAAAGGTGGCTAGAGGGTAAAGTCTGTGATTGATTGCTTGGTGATCATTATGATCATGTCTCACAACTTGGCTATGGCATCTTTGATAGTGGAAAGGGTATTGATTACCTTTGAATGGCTCGGTACGTTCAAGAGTCTTTCAGCTTGATGTAAAATGACGTAGTGGTATTTTTCGAGCGTGCTTTTCAGCGAGAAAGATATTACCTGTGTTGAAGTCTTACTCCTAGATGCTATCAGTAAGCATCGTGGAGTCATTCTATTTGTGCCGATATTTCAGACACAGATTGCATTTGCCAACGGACGTTATGCAACAAGCACATGGTGACACCGCCACGTTTTTTTTTTAATGTCAATTCTTGCAGCCGAAATACTTACCCGAAAAATGTTGCGACTGTTTGGCCTCCGGCACGTGAACCAGAACTAGATCAGGGCAATGCCAGTGCTGGTGCACGTGATTCTTGATCCCACAAGAGGCGAGATTAAGCCGGAAGCGAGATTAAGATGCAAATTAATCAATCAGAGGCGGATCAATCCAGCCAGAGGCGGAATCAAGGGGCGATTGTCTCCCCAGAGGGAGCGGACGGCGGAAGGGAGGCGAGAGAGGCGGAATCAAGGGGCGGTTGTCTCCACAGAGGGAGCGGACGGCGGAGGGGAGGTGAGAGGGACGGAATCAAGGAGCGGTTGTTCCCCGGAGGGAGCGGACGGCGGAGGGGAGGTCAGAGAGGCGGAATCAAGGAGCGGTTGTTTCCACAGAGGGAGTGGACGGCGGAGGGGAGGCGAGAGAGGCCAGTGGCAAGCGTCCGCCCGGTGCCGAGAATGAATGGGGATAAGAATAGCACCTTGTTGGCGGCAATCCAGCGGCGGCAGACAAGCAGCGCGTTTTAAATCCGGTGAAACCGCGCTCGCATATCCCGCATGGTCTAGTGGCTAGGATACACGGCTCTCACCCGTGAGGCCCGGGTTCGATTCCCGGTGCGGGAATTTATTTAAGCTTTTAAGCTTTACTCTGAAGGCATTGGCCAATTGGTTAAGAAGCAACCAAATTCTGCTACTCATATAAAAACTTCAAGTCACCTGTTTCCTTCTGCGGTATTGAACAATGCACTTTCGCTTTGCAAAGTATTGAACTCTCCGTGCCGATTCCAGGGATTGTCAAGATTGAGGATTTCGTAAGCAGCGAAGAAGTACTTACAGTGCTCCGACTTATTCGCAGCTGATAAAACTGCATAAGACTGCATTCCATGTCATGAAGAACAAACTTTATCAGTGAGATACCCCAGACAAAATTCAGCTGATAGGTTAATTGGATCGCCTGATTCCAGGGTGGATACCACACACGCGATCCTCCAATCACTGGAAATGACACTGGCTGCCTGCAAGGAAGCGCTTGATCGGCAGGAGGTGCGGACCAATCACAGGGAAGCATTACCAGCGTCGGTATTCTGTCACCGCTGCCGAGCTGCACATCCGCCAGATCGGCGAGCACAGTCCAGGCAGAGTGGCGCGTTTGAAAGCATAACTAGGCCTGTGAGTCTGAAAGTGGACAAATGATGGAGATGATTCAGTCAAGTGTCAATCTATCCTTACTTTTCCAGTCAGCGCCGAGAAACTTTCAGCTCTGGCACCTGAACTGGGAAACGTGCTTGGCATGGTAGGGAAGTATGCATCGTAGCAGAGCGCTTCTTTCATTACATGGCTGGCTGTTTACCCGGCGATGCCCGGGTGATGGAGAAGGATTTATTGCAAGCGAACCAATTGATATATTTGTATCTAATGGTATAAGATGACGTGATGACATCAAAAATCATGCGCATTCGTCCTTATACTGAACAGTGGGACATACTAACCAAATTGGGGCCCGGAAACCGTAAGTTGCAGCTATACAGTCAACACGGTGTCAAAATACCACACCAAAAGGCGGTCAGCTTCCTTGAAAGCGAGGGCAAACGGTAAGATACAATCTGGAGAAGCTGCTCAGCATTCTCAGATGGCCGCTTAATGGTCTCTGACACGAAAAAGGTCTCACCGTCCTACTGCATCGTTCTTTGACCAGCCGACCAGTCACTGGGTTCACGTGCCCCTCCGAGGTACAGCAGTAGACTCCGCTACCCGGCACAGACACGGCCCGCGGCGGACGGGTCCAGCGCCGGGTAAGCGAGGCTTTTTACAGCGCAATATGGAGATGGACATATGCAAGCTGGATATCGATGTGTGTCGCGATTCTGTTGCAGCTGACTACATGCGTCGAGGGATCCTAAGATTGCAGTGCTTTCCTGTAGAGTAGATTCTTGGCTTTACCCTCCTTCGACAAGACGAACAGGTCATCTGCTCACTCTGGAGCTGCCAACGCAAAGCTGACTCCGGCAGACCACTGGCCCGGTCAGGTTGAGACCCGTTACCTCCAGGGACTTGGCTTGGGTCTTGTCCATAGTCACGGCGTAGCTCTGCTGGGCAGGAAGCTGTCTACTTTGAACTCGAAGACATCAGATAAGATGAGCGTGATTCCTGGGATGAAGACGTTCATTCCCTCGGCCTCGCCTACCACAATGGTCGCTATGGCATGGCATGGGAGGTCCAGGTTTCGTAGGAGCATGACGCCCGCAGTTTACTTGCACCGAGTCGTGTGATGGCAGTCCTGATGACTCCAGGCTGCTGAGAAGCTCTAATGGGTAGCTCACAGCTTCCTCTGGGTCTGGGACAGTGTCCGCCGACTTGCAGATCCTTTACTCTCAATTCTGCGTCTCCACAAGCTTGCAGTTCATACCGTTGACATCAAAATTTTCGGCACCAGGATGACCTGCTTGCTGAAACAGGTTTGCTCTTCCAGGTTAGTAACACGTTGAACATGAGGCCGTCGACAAATTCTGCGTTTTCACCGGAGGAAAGGCTGAAATGGCTAACTTGGCGCTGGATCTGACCGTTGCCAACTTGTAGCAGGGTTGCCAACTGGCCTACTGCTTTGTCGCAGTTAAAATGAGCACACATTGTTGGCGGCATTCTTACTGATGCTCGGTTCATCACTCAATACTCGTCACGCTGTAATTTATGTAACGCCACGGATAACGCAGAAACCTTTTTTAATCATCATTCATTGAGTGTTTAAACTCATTGAGTTTAATCATCACTCATTGAGCTCTGCTGGTCGTCATAGTCTGATTTTCATTCCGTCTGTTTTCTTGCAACTGGCAGATATGCAATGAAGCGGCACGCGGCAGCCGACATTCTTCGTTGCTCCGGTGAGTTTCAAGCCAGCCGTTGACAGTGGTAACCCTATGGGGCGAGCCGACTCGCATCACGTCACTCGCGGCGGTCTGACCTTGACCGAAGTGTTACATAAACATTCCTCTCGTCGCGCGGACTCAGAGCTTTATAGGTTCGGATGGACTACCATCGACGGTTCTCGAATTAGTGGATGCCATATGACCGAGTTTACCTTGCATCATGTATTATAGACTGGTTGGGTATAGTACCGTTAGAGTTTCTTCGAATACAGATGTCGTCAAGTTTGAACGCTCTTGCCATCTTAATAAACTTGTTACGGAATGTTTGCGATGTTGCTATATGCGTGGTGTGCACATTTGCTTTACCCTTTTAACAGCGGTCTTCGTCAAGTAGGGTTATAATAATGCCTCAACTTTCCTTATGTTATCATATTTTTGGAGAATTGCCAAAAACTGGCGACAAGTCATAAGCAAATGTGATCTGACAGCGTGATCTGAGACACCATAAACAACATGACAAGTAGTGGAACGTACCCGACTGCCAGGTCAGCAATATGGGTCCCGAACGCATGCACATGTTGACGTCGATGACACGCGGCAGTTACCGTGAGCCCGTCCGAGTCCAGCGTGGCCCGGGAGGCGGCGTCACTAGTGGCCGGGCTGTCGTCCCGTCCCCGGCTACAGTCGATCGGCTCGGTCTCGGCGTACAGCGAGGAGCTACTGTCGCTGCCGCTGCTGGCGCCGTCGGCGTGCGGCGCCGCCAGGCGTGGAACCCCGGCTGTGGTTGTGGCGCCATCTGTAAGCGACACCAACAACAACTGTATGTCGCAGTTCATCGTAGATGGCGATATAAATCAGCGGCGTGGTACAGTGACCAGCATGGGCTATTCTGATTTTGCAAAATTTAGACCTAAGACCGAGCCGTTTTTTAGAAGAAGAAAAACGCTAAGATTTGAGTTAGTCTGTGCGAGCACATGCTTAATTATATCAGTTTAAGCATCTGTGGGACTGACTGTGGATTTGTCCTCAAATCGCCCTAAAGAGCGTGCGGGTTACGTTGGGAAAAAGTAATGCATCCTCTCATGCCCTTTTCCCGTGAGACTGTCTGGCAACATTTGGTATACCACCACCCGTACCTGGAACAATGTGTACCGCATATGACGTACCTCGCCGCTAGCTTAGTGCACTGTGCACCATACCTGTCGTCTTACGATTCATCGCTGTCGGGATTCGCTCGGCGCCTGGCAGCGGGGGGCCGGCCAGCGGCTGGTAGTCGCACTCGTAAGCAGCAGCACTGCTGGTACGCGCCGCCGCCGAACAGCGGCGAACGTGACGCGTGCCTGCGGCGTTCGAAGCGCGCCTGGGAACGTTCGCTGGCCGCGTCCGATGACAGCGAACGGCTGGTCTGCAAAGTGCCCGATCGGGAGATATGCCGTCAGGCACGATCCGTTCGCAGCACTCCTGGTTCATTTTCCGCTTTTTGCAGTTCGTACTTCGTGAGGTGTAGTGAAGGAGAAGCCTCAGGGAGCAGTTTTCAACATTAACGACAGCTGAACTACACTAATGAAGTACATGTTCATGCCTCTTCGTTTGGGTTGTTCTGAAATGCTTTATGAAATGCGATGTCAACTTTCCAAAAGCTATCTTGCATACTCGTGCTGAATTCATTGTAAACGTAACTTGGGCCAAGCTTCAGCAATTGGCATAACAATTCCCCCTTCACATGAACTGTGAGTGAACTAACTCACATGTGTTTTTGGATATGTAGGCGCGCAATTGTCGGGCTTGTTTGGAGAAGAAATGTTCCTCTGCATTGAGCTTCTCTTTTCAGAGCAGTGATGTGAAGTACCATTAGTCACAGAACTCGGCAGGTTCCTTTCACACCCCCACCACCCTCAAATGCCTCGGAGTGAGTTCTGGATGCGCCGCATCAACCGAGCCGCTAGTTCGCGAGCGCGGTTGTCTTTCACGCGAATTTCCAGAGGGCGCACGAAATTAAGGGGTAAGTTGTGAACGTAGGCGGTGCGCCTTTATTGGCTCACCGCTGCATGCGTGGCATCAGCTGAAATTGCCGGCCTAGTAGTTTCCTGAGTCTTCTTTGATGATGGGATATTGGAGGAACGCCCTTGAAGACGTGCATAAATGAAGAAAGCACCTATCAAAGCGTGACTCTGGCACTTTGGCGTACACAACGAGAAGAAAAGCCCGAGATTTAGTTTATCAGTGCCGCGGTGTAATCAGTGTCAGGAAATTAGTTTCCCACTTAGGGAAGTGGTGCAGTAATAATTCCGAATTCATCCTGCAGATAAGATTACCTTGAGAAAGAATAAAACGCAAACCGTCCGTATGGGGTTGAGGGTGCGAAACGAAGTTTGTCTTCTTGCTGCGTCGGTACGGAACTGGAAAACGAAGGTCGACAAGAAGCTTGGCCAACACTGACCTATCATAGAAGACAGATGCAGGAGGTCCATTCTGCAAATGAATGATATTGAAAGTAGGATGAGTGACAAAGGCCCTTTTCCCATGGCCCATATCGACGCCATGGAGATAATCAAGCTCCAACGGACGAAGGCCTTCTTTAAGCCTAACAGGAGCTGCGCCATCGAGAGCTCGCGGGAGTGGTCAAACTGTTTTGTCTGGGAAGAAAAAGCGTGCAGCCCAACAGATCTTTAACTATGGACCGGTAAAACGCGATTTCTAAGCCAGCTACCTAAATTCATGAGATATCTGAATTAGAAAGTGAAATGATCCTCAATTTTCTGTGCGATCCAAATAACGTGGGGAGCAGAAAGGAGCACATCCCCAGAACGCGCCAGCTGTGCCAAAGCCAACGTCAAGGCCCACGTGAAGGCGCGCAGGATGTAGATGGCCATTTTGCAACTGAACTGTTAACTGGGCAGCATGGGCGACCAGTGCGACATGGCAACTGCATCAGCACCCACACCAACCTTTATTTGTATTGCTGTAATTCTGTCACTTCGGCATGGAGTGGTACTGGGGCAGGCGGTCTCACCCCACCAGCTTTAATCAGCGCTCCCCAGCCGTGCTGTACCGTGCCACCAGCGAACGTGCGTGTCATTGCAGTCAGGAGATGACAAGCTGTCAGTCAACAGGCTTTGAGTGTTCAGTGTGGCGAAAGCGTGGCTCGTGCAATGTCAGGTAAACCTTGTTGCTTTTGAAGCCTATGATCTGCAGAACTTAACTCCCTAGAAAACACACGTTTCCGTTTATATGCGGCGGGTCCGTGAAACTTGCACCAACCCTGGTGATAATCCTTGAATGGCCCAAGCCCCCTCCCCAACAGCATCAGCGAACACCATTTGCACCGTTGTTCATCTGAAATGCGTGGTGTGACCGCAGCATGGCGTCTGAAAAACCGCCACCGCCTGTCAGTGGCCCCCGCGCCAAAGCTTCACGGCTTGACCTACTGTCAGGTCCTGGTGGGGCCAACACACTGACCTGGCTGCGGGCGCTCTTGGTACGCCGTGACAGATGCAGGCTGCTGCTGGGGCTCAGGCCGGCTGCCGACCTCTGAACCGGGGTCGTGACCTGCGGATGACCCTGGCCGGGCCAGGCCACGGCCGCGGCGCTGGCACACGACCCGCGGCCGGCTGAGTCGTACTGAGCCGGCAGCTGGTTAGCGTAGATGTGGCGCCGCTCGGCGGCCGGGTCCGACTCCCGACGCTTGTGGAACAGGTCATCACGCAGCCAGAGCGTGTTCCTCGTCAGCACGTCCGGCTTGGGCTGGTGCATGATGACTGGCATCTTCGCGTCAGCGTACAGCACTGAGATCAGAGAAAGGCGTCAAAACGCTATCCGACCTGACCGTAGCGTTATGTGTTCATGCCTACCCAAAGGTGAACTTGGCGTTTTTGATTGGAGAGGGGGGGGGGGGCAACCCATGAATCCTATCCATCCTGTCCATAGTCCATCCTGTTTTCGAAACATAGTGTATCACGAATTTTGTCCGCTTTATTCTACTGCCATAATTGGAGTTAATGTAAGAATGTCCCTCATGCATTTTGTCCGCTTTATTCTACTGCATAATTGGAGTTAATGTAAGAATGTCCCTCAGCTCCTGGGTTTTCGGTATTATGAGCTCAATGCTCTTTGTTGAGTTAACGGCCTTCGATATATCAGGAGGTACTGGTCAAACGGCACTGCGGCGCTTAACACCGGATAAGTTGGAGGAAATCAATAATATGAGCTGCGCTCATACTTCAGAGCTGACCTTATGAGGATGAGCACGGGAAAACAGATGGATGCATGTATGTTTGTAATGTTTTTTCATAGACGTCTCACAACTCCCAAAATGAACATGACGATTTTGCATCCTGTTTTCATGTAAAACACGGATCATTTGCTACAGAAGAACTACGCACTTTGTGGCCACAGCACCCGCCTGTCAAAGTGGACACAGCATTTGCCTACAAATGGTGCCGCTTCAAGGCCGCTTCAGGAGGCTGCGGGAAGGGCAATACTTTTAGGTGGCTGTTGGGCTCCTCCAGGAGGTACCAGCACTGGGGCTAAACAAGATACCTCATTGATTGACATGATGGTAATGCTCTAGGACTGTCTAAATTTGATGCTCTCATACTGCTTGTTATCGAGCAACGTAGACAGGAGTTTCTTTTGATGGTGAGACGGAGAAGACATGGGGCCATGCCAACCACCCCTTTGGACCACCAATGACCAATCTCCTTGGGCCGCACCAAAACCTCATTTCGAAACCACATAGCCTATGTGGTTTCCAAGGGGCACCAAATTCCAAGGACACCGTAAAGAGTCCCATCTTTTATTTTCGGGAAGAACCCAAGTCCAGAGGCACTCCAATATTTGTGCCTTGTCCGTTTGACAAAATCCTGAATCGACCCATTCAGCAAAGGAGCACTAACACCATTATTCCCGATACCATAACCTTTATTTTCAAGAGACACCCAAGTCCTGAGGTCGCCAAGAAGGGCCTTAAATCTTCACTCTCTATACAACGACGTTGTGCCTCCCAGCCTGAACGAAATCTCGGAACAGTTCCTCAGGCAAAGAGCACCAAAACCTTTCTTTCGGGGCATTCATTTTTCAAAAGAACTTT